TTAACACCTCACCTGTATCAATGGATAGATAATCCTGAAAGAAAATCAACAAGGAAAGAGTGGCTTTGACAACACAATAGACCAGATAGTTTTAACATTAATATACAAAACACTTCAACCAAAAACAGAATACACATTATTTACAAGTGCAAATGGAACATGCTCTAGGGCAGATCATATGTTAGGCCACAAAATAATTCTCAAAAACTTTTAGAGGGCTAATATCATATCAAGTACCTTCTGTCTACATCAGTATGAAACTAGAAATCAGTTTCTTTAAAACATACATACTGTATTGTATGTATACATATTTACATGTAATACTGTAAATACATACATACATACATGCAAACACATGGAAGCTAAACATACTACTAAGCAACTAATAGATCAATGAATACATCAAAAAGAAAAAAAATAACTGGAGACAAATGAAGATGGAAATACAACAGTTCAAAACCTTTGGGAGGCAGCAAAAACAGTTTTAAGAAGAAAGTTAACTGCAATACAAGCCTACGTCGAGAAACAAAAATATGAAATAACAATCTCACCATACACCTAAAGGAACTAGAAAAAGAAAGACAAATTCCAAAGTTAGAAGAAAGAAAATAATAAATAATAAAGATCGGGGCATAAATGAAACAGAAACTAAATAAAAAGAGACTAATAAAAAGAGAACAAAAAAAAAAAGAAAACAAAAAAATAGAAAAGATCAATGAAGCCAAGAACTGGTTCTTTGAATAATAAACAACAATGATGAACACTTAGCCAGGCTCATAAAGAAAAAAAAAAAAACAGAAAACTCAAAATTGGAATTGAAGAGAAGTTACAACCTACACCACAGAAATACAAAACATTATAAGAGATGGCTAGGAAAAATTATAGACCAACCAACTGGACAACCTAGAAGACACAGATAAATTACTAGACATATACAATCTTCTAAGACATAATCAGGAAGAAATAGAAAATCTGAATAGACCAATAACTAGTAACAAAATTGAATCACTAATTTAAAAACTCCCAATACACAAAGTCCAGGACCAGATGGCTTCACTGGTGAGAGATATCTAATATTTAAATAAGAGTTAATATCTATCCTTCTCAAACTAATACAAAAAAATAGAAGAGAAAGGAAAGCTTCCAAATACATTTCACAAGGTCAATATTACCAATATTACCAAAACTAAAGACACTACAAAAAAAAATTAGAGGTCAATATCCCTGATGAGCATAGATGTAAAAATCTCCAACAAAATATCAGAACCAAATCCATTACCAAATACATTAAAAGGATCATTCACTATGATCAAGTGTGATTTATTCCAGGGATGCAAGGATGGTTCAATCTGAACAATCCACATATCAATCAACATGATACACTACATTAACAAAATGAAGGATAAAAATTATAATCATTGCAATAAATGCAGAAAATGCATTTGACAAAATTCAACATCCATGGTAAAAACTCAACAGAGAGTGTTAAAAAAAATGTATCTCAACATAATAAAGACCACCTATGATAAGCCCATGACTAACATTAATTATACTCAATGGTAAAAGGCTGAAAGCTTTTTCTCTAAGATCAGGAACAAAACAAGATGTCCATTCTTGCCACTTTTATTCGATATAGTACTGTATGTAAGTCTTAGCCACAGCAATCAAATAAGAAACAAAAGGCATCCAAAATGATAAGGAAAAAGTGAACTGCCACTATTTTCAGATGACATATTTTACATGGAAAACCCTAAAGATTCTCCAAAATAATTATTAGAATAAATGCATTCCACAAGGTTGCAAGAAATGAAATTAGTGTACAGAAATCTATTGTTTCTATACACTTACAGCAAAGCTGCAGAAAGGGAAATTAAGAAAATAATCCCATTTACAATGCATCAAAAATAATAATATACCTAAGAATAAGTTTAACCAAGGAGGTGACACACCAGTAGGATAAAAATTATAAGACACTAATTCAAGAAATTGAAGATGACAAAAATAAATGGGAAGATACTATCTTTTCCCTCATTGTATATTCTTGTTTCCTTTCTTATAGATTAACTGGCCATATAAGCATGAGTTTAATTCTGGACTTTCTGTTCCATTGATCTTATATGTCTGTTTTTGTATTACTGGCATACTTTTTTTTTTATTACTATAGCTTTCTCCTATAGTTTGAAATCTGGGATTGTGATACCTCCAGGTTTCTTTTTTAAGATTTTTGTTTATTTATTCATGAGAGACACACACACAGAGAGAGAGAGAGGCAGAGACACAGGCAGAGGGAGAAACAGGCTCCATGCAGGGAGCCCGACGTGGGACTCGATCCCGGGTCTCCAGGATCAAGCCCTGGGCTGAAGGCAGCACTAACCTGCTGAGCCACCTGGGCTGCCCCCAGGTTTTTAATTCTTTCTCAAGGTTGCTTTGGCTCTTTAGGATCTTTTGTGGTTATACACAATTTTTAGGAGTATTTGTTCTGTGAAGAATAGTATTGGTATTTTGAGAGGGATTGCATTGAATTTATGGATCACTGGGGTAATTTAACTATTAATTCTTTCAATTCACAAGAATGGTCAGAAATCACTATTAACCCCCATGTAACAGATAAATTAACAAATGACCAGAGTGAGTTAGTAGTTTACTCAGGGTGACCCAGACAATAATAGGCCAAATTGGGACTAAAACACAGGAAGCCCAGCTCCAAAGGTTACAGCCTTAACTACCACCCCATCTTAGCACTCCATTAATTATATTGTGTCTCCAACTTGACACTTGTAAGTATTGGGTGATTAGGTTGGTTCCAGATCTGGAAAACCACATAGAGAAAAATTAAGAGAACTATAGCCATTTAGCAAAGAGTAGAGAAAGCCAAAAAGGAAACATAATCATTGTATTCAGATACCTGCCTCCTTCCCAAATTCCTTGACTCCATTTTTAATAAGTGGACATCAGGCTACCAAAGACACCAGGAGCAACTCCAAGGATAAAGAGTCTGAGATTCTGAGAAACAGGATCTGAGAGATGTGTGTAGGATAAGCAATCCTAGTCTTTGCTTGAGGACAGCTATGAATTAGAGGCTACCTGCCAACAGCCTCAGATCTTTGTCTTCTAGCTTACTCATTTATCAAGCACTCACAGGGTACCTATCCTGTGCACGCTGTCCTCAGTGCTAGGAAATGACAAGAAGCAAACTGTTCCCACCTTCCTTTCTGATCTTATATCCTCTTTCCCTCTCCTGCTAAATCCACACTGGTCCTTCTATAACCACAAACCCTCCCAGATCTTTCCCTCATCAGGACCTCTGTACCTGCAGCTCCCTATTCCTGGCATGTTCTGTTTCCTCTTTTCAAATGGTTCAGCTTATACATCACTTCTCCAGCAAGGGCATCCCTAACCACTGTATCTAAATAAACTTGAGTTGTTTGTTCCCACATCACTTTAATTTTCATCTTTGCATTTATTGGCTATCTAATATTTTTTTTCCAATTTTTAATTTCTCCCTCTATCGAATTTAGTTTAATGACATTTATCTTGTTTTTCACTTTAAATAGGCTCCACACCCAAATCAGAGCTTGAACTCATGACTCTGAGATTAAGAGTCACATGCTCTACCAACTGAGCCAGCCAGCCAGGCATCCCCAGATTTAGCTTAATGAAATCAGGAACTTCATTTGTTTTGCAGTCTTCTGTATTTGTGATGTTTTGAATAGGACCTAGCACATAGAAATAGTCTATAAATATTTACTGAATATATTAATAAGCAAGAAATTATGCACATTTTTGAGGGATGTGTTAGCTTTGTTATTTTGAAAGCCTGTGGTTGCAAACTAGAGAAAATATAATGTGAGTTAGGTGGATGACATGGCTAAGTATACAAGGACATCCAAACTTATCTTCTTTAATATCAGGACTCCTGCTGGAGTTTACTTCCTCTGGCCTCCTTTACAACAAGGATCTGGTCAATGTGCATAGGTGGAAAAGTGAGATGTGCCATTTCTAAGTCATGCCCTTGAAAGAAAGGTAGATGCCACCACTGGCCCTCCCCCTGCCCACCCTTTCCCACTACCAAATGATGTCAGGATCTAAAGCAACCACTTTGGATCCAATGATGGAAATTTTGTGTGTTAAGAATGACAAATCTGCGTTGCCAGTCTTAAGTAGCTTATCTCTGGAGCATTATATAGAGAAAAATAAGCTTCCATCTTATTTCAGTCACTGTGTTGGGGTGGGGGTGGGGGGTGGTTACTTAGTCACAACAGCTAGGCCAGTACTCTAATAACAAGTCTTAAGTCTTTTTCAGCAATTTAAAGGGTCCTCTCTACACCTGGTCTGCCTCTCTCAGGAATTACTGCTCAAATACTATCTCCATATATTTTTGTTTCTTAAAAATTTTATCCTCACCATCTTTCAAGTTAGGTTCTGTATCCCATAACACATTGTGTTTGCAACCTTCTTTCCACATGCAGAAAGGGAAAGGAAACACAGTGAATGCCTGGTAGGAGCCACTTACTATGCTAAACATCTTACCTATAATATCATAATTCTCCCAAAAGGTCTATGAGTCCAATGTCATTTCACTATTTTAAGTAAGAAACAGGCTTAAGGACATCAGGTGTTTTGTCCAAGATCACACAGCTAGTAAGTGGCAAAGTGGACTTTGAGCCAGGTGATAGCCATGTTGGCTCTTTCCACTACTCTATGCTGATACCATGGTTTGCACAATGACTGAGGTCCTGCATTTGTCTTTTTGGATTTTTTTTTGCTATAATTTATTTTATTAATTGCATGACTTTCACTTGTTATTTTCTTTATGACATCTTTACCCAACCCTTAGGGCCATGTTTGTTTGTTTTTATAAATTGTAGTAAAATATAAGATAAAATTTACCATTCAGCTATTTTTAAGTGTATAGACAGTTTAGTAACATTAAGTGCATTCACATTGTTGTACAAGCATCCACCAGTATCCACCTCCAGAACTTTTGGATCATCCTTGAAAAAAATATGGGATGCTTCATGAGTTTGTTTGTCATCCTTGGACAGGGGACATGCTAATCTTCTCTGCATTGTTCCAATTCTAGTATACATGCTGGCCAAGCCAACACAGGGAGCCATGTGTTTAAGTCATTGGTTTTCTACTTCTTGGCTCCTCTCCTTTTCTTTCCTTCGGTGACCTGCTGTGTACTGCTTAGTAATGAACTGGAGTGTCCTAGTGATAGATGTGCCTGTGCAAAGTCATGAGCAAGAGGAAGGAGAAATAAACATAAAAGGGCCTGGCTTGGATCCTATCTTTATCCTCTGTCCAAACCAATCCCCAGGGGTTTGAGCGAGGAAAGGGGGGATTCACAAATAGCCTAATTTTATACTGAATCATTTTGAAGTTTCTCAGCCATTCAAACAGTAAATTGTTAACCCTGACCTGCTCCACCCTGTATGACTCACTGTCCAGTTTGAAATCCTGCCTGTCTCAGTTTCATCCTCATCTCAGGGACCCATGCCCTATCTTCCTTTCCTCCTTTCCTTCTTCCAACTCTCTCTCTTCTGGAGGTTCTCCTTGTCTGCAGAAAAGTGTGGCAGGGTACATGGCTTAAGAGGAGGAAACAAATTTTGTGCACCTTCTGTTTTCCATGAGAACAGCAGTATTTGAGAGTTTCCTGAGTTCACTGTCCTCTCACTTCCTCATGACCATTCTCTAAATCTCTACAACCATGGAAGCTGTTCCACTTCTCCAAAAAATGCTTTGTCCCCACAAATACTACTCATGGGAAGAGGCTCTGAGTTTAGTCTGTTCCTGCCATTTGATTATTTGTTTATTGTACATATTCAACACATACGTAAGCATTTGGCCTTCTAATTTATACTTTATGCAATTTTGAAAGCCTAATGATTCTGGCATGGAGAACTTGAAGGGACTGCCCTGTGGATTCTATTACCATGCTTGCATGAGCCTGAGCCTGCTGTCTCCCCTTCTCTTTCACCCCACAAGGGGCCCTGGGACAAAGCATGGGGTGCAAGCCAAGCAGCTCTGCCTCTACCCAGGACACCTTCCAAGACCGGGTGGGAGCAGACTGAGGCTGTGCTGAGCCTATCAGGAGAATAGGAATGGTGTAGACACCCAGGCCTAATCCTTGAGAAACCAAAAATATTATAGGCAGGAGCAATCAATAATATACAAAGCTCTACCTGCCACCAGTGAAAAGGTTAGCTTCTTTAAAAAATAAGTTTGCAAGGGACTCCTGGGTGGCTCAGTTGGTTGAGCATCTGCCTTCAGCTGAGGGTATGATCCTGGGTCTGGGGATCAAGTCACGCATTGAGCTCCCTGCAAGGAGCCTGCTTCTCCCTCTGCCTATGTCTCTGCCTCTCTCTGTCTCTCATGAATAAATAAAATCTTTTTAAAAAATGAGTTTGTGAGAGTGATAGTAATGATTAGTGGAAAGTAGGACAGTAATAAGGTCTTCCTTAGCAGAAAAAGTCTGCCAAGGTAGTTTCAGTAGAAATAATTATTCTTGTTAAATTTTATGGGATGTTCTCATATTAACAGCAATACATATTCTTGGTAGAAAAGTTAGGAAAATCCTATAAATATTCAAATCATTCCAATCTCACAATACAGAGATAACTATTATAAGTATTTCTTTAGAAATAATTCCATTTAATTTTATTTGGAGTTAGTGGGGGCAGGGGGGAGGTGAAGTGAAACTAAAGGAGCTGAATGTTTTTTTTAAACAAGCTATTAGTTACTAAGGAATTCTTCAAATAAATTACAAAAACATGAGATTTTGACACTAGTGTTTATGCATATTATTTAAAGCTTATACTTCTTAATGACCACAAGTTTGTTTCTAAATATTCAGGTTTAGATGACTATCTGGTCAAAATCCAAAGTCACCTTTGCTATGCTAAAAACAACAAAATCATATATATATCTTTTTTTTGGGGGGGGGGGGCGTGGACACGGAAACCGAAAGAGAAAATGAAAACAAAACTTTATATCTAAGTTTACTCCCTGGAGGATTCTTCAAAAGAATGATTGGGAAAAATCTGATCTGTAAAAAATAGTATGGTATAAAAATGGCAATCCAGTTTCAAGAGTAAAAAAATCTCACACTTGACAACAGGGAAATGTGTATACCCATTACTCATTACAAATTCAAATGCATTGGGCAGCCTGGGTGGCTCAGCGGTTTGGCACCTGCCTTCAGCCCAGGGCGTGACCCTGGAGACCCGGGATCGAGTGCCACGTCAGGCTCCCTGCAGGAAACCTGCTTCTCCCTCTGCCTGTGTCTCTGCCTCTCTCCCTCTCTCTCTCTCTCTCTCTCTCTCTCTCTCTCTCTCATGAATAAATAAAAGTCTTAAAAAAATCAAATGCATTTAATTCTGAGAGTCCATCACTGTCCTTTAACACCAGTTGCTCAAAATCTAATTTGCTTCATATTTAGACCATGACTTTCCTATAGAGTGTTTTACTCTATTTCCCAAATGATCCAGTGGCCATTCTTTCTCTTGTTGAAAAGTAGACTTGTGCCACTGTGTCATTGATAGTAAGCTATCAACGTGATGCTTCTAGATCCTAATCACAAGATCTGTGTAGTGTTACCCACTTTCTTCCTGAAGACTGTTTCCATGGAGTCTTCTGACTTCCTGTTCTAATTTGGACTCACCACTATCTAGGCATGTGGAGGAACTGTCATCGTCGTGGGCTATCCTAGACTGGTTTCTTGGATCCCACATTTTCCTCTTTCTGGGGTTCTGTTTCTGCTTGACTCTTGTAGAGTTGTAAAGTAACTCTTCTAGAAAAAGTACTTAGAAGACAATTGTCTAAGCCCTTGCCTGTGTCTGAAAATATTTTTATGCTTAGTCTCGCTGGGATACATTTTGATGTTCAAATAATTTCCCTCAGAAGGTGTAACTCCCCGCTCCATTGTCTTTCAATATCCAGTGTTGCTGATGGGAGTCTGATCCAGTTTGACTTGAGTTCCTTCACAGGCAAGCTTATATTTGCTCAGCGGTTTAAGGATATGTAGATAGAAAGGATAGAAAGGAACTTGCAGGGCAGAAATTTCACCAGTATTTATCCAGATGGACCCTTTCAATCTGAAGACCCGAATCATTTTCTCTATTTTGAAAAAAAGTTATGCCCTCTCCCTGTGTTCCTTCCAGCCTTCTGAGAGCACACAGAGGGTACACTACTTAGATCTTTTCTCAGCCTCCTTCTCTTCTTTCTCATCTCTTTTTATATCACATAGCTAAGTTTTGAAAGGTTTTTTTTTTTCTTCAATTTTATCATCCAGATTACTAATTTAGTCCTTGGTTGCTTCTATTTTTTCGACATCCATGAAATTTCAGTTAATTCTGGTAATCATATTTTCAAGATTTCACTTTCAGGAATTCTGGTTTTCAACAGCAACATGTTTTCAGTGTACACATATAAAGTCCTCTTAAATATCTCCACAGCTTTGCATTTGTTTATTGTTGTTGTTTTAAAGATTTTTAAGTAATCTCTACACCCAACATGGGGCTTGAACTGACAACCCTAAAATCAAGAGTCACATGCTCTACTGACTGAGCCATCCAGGCACCCTTCTCAATGGGTTCTAAAGAGACCTTAAAAAACCCTACCTCCCAGTCTTTTTTTTTTTAATTTTTTTATTTATTTTTATGATAGTCACACACACACAGAGAGAGAGAGAGAGAGGCAGAGACATAGGCAGAGGGAGAAGCAGGCTCCATGCACCAGGAGCCTGACGTGGGATTCAATCCAGAGTCTCCAGATCGCACCCTGGGCCAAAGGCAGGCGCCAAACCACTGGGCCACCCAGGGATCCCCCTACTTCCCAGTCTTATCTCCATTTACTGTAGGGTTAGGGTAGGCTGTGCTATTTGCTGGACTCTTGTGCTGACGGTTTTCTCTAAGTCCCTAGTTATCTTTGTCCTGAGATCAGGACCAGATTGCCCTGGGTTTCCCCTGAGCTGCATTTTGAGCAGTATTTTGAGAGATAAGGACTAGAGACTGGCAAAGTCTGAGTGAGGCATCCCAGTTTGACTGTTTCATGTTTATTGTGTTATTGTAAGCAAATCAGTCAAGGCAAAATATTTAATAGGACTAGAAAAAAGGTATTGTGCTGGGGGTAAAAAAGAGAGTGATAAAACTGGACGGTTTAGGGTGAGTTTAAGATGGTGATTGACAAAGGATTTTTTAATGGCAGGGGGTGCAAGTACGACAGTGCAATAGGAAGTGGGAACGCTTCCAATTTACTGATGACCAAAGATCCTACCACTACCACCACCTGCTGGTGTCCTCCCAGAGAGACCTATAGACTGATTTCCATTGTCTACTGGCCTCCTAAGAAATATCTGCTCCTGCCTCTCCACGGGGTTCTACGGAACTGAGAAGCCATGAAACAATCTGAAAGAAGAGCAGCCCTATTGCTTAGGGTCCAAGGATATAGCACAGCCCTGGCAAGTTGTTCAGTCTCTGGCTCAGCTCCCACTTTAGGCAGCCTATCTTATTGCTCAACATTACTAGGATAAGGCCATGTCCCTTCCTAGTTGACCTTCCACGTCAATTGGACACATAACATCTCTGCTACTTAGCCAACTCTGATTAGTGCAGCAATCTTGATGGGCTTTGCATGCTACCACTTCTTCTTTTGAAGCTACTACTTATGAAAAATTTCAAACATATTCAAAAGTAAAGAGAAGAGTATAATGAGCCCTCATGTGCCTGTCACCCAATGTCTTATCCATCTGGGCTGCGGCAACAGAATATCATAGACTGGGAGGGCTATAAACAACAGAAATTTGTCTCCTCACAGCTCTGGAGGCCAAGATAAGGGTGCAACCAGCCATGGTAAGATTCTGGCAAAAGCCCTTTTCCTGATGCACCAATAGCCATCTTCCCCCTGTGTCCCCACATAGGGGGTAGGGGGAGGGAACTCTCTGGGGTCTCTTTCATAAGGGCGTTAATCTCATTCAGGAAGACTCCACCTTCACAACATCATCACCTCCCCAAGGTTCAATCTCCTAAAACCATCACAGTAGGGGTTAGGATTTCAACATATCAGTTTGAGGTAGACACAAACATTCCAGTTTCAACAACTACTC